ACCTTGGACGCGTCGAGGCCGATGACGGACACCATGCCGCTCTTCACGGCGTCAGCCGCGGCCTGCATGCTCTCGCCCCTCAGCTTGACGAGCTTCAGGCCGTCCTCAAACGACATGGCGCCTGGTGTGTGTGTGTTATTGTGTGTGTGTGTGTGTGTGTGTGTGTGTGTGTGCGTGTGTGTTTGCGTGTGCGCCCGAGGGAAGTCTGCACTCGAAGAGTGACGCTTCAGACGGTGTTCGAGGCTTTTGAGGTTCTGACGCTTTCGCACGGGACACTGGCGGTGTGCTAACTCAGCTCCATGCTACGTCTCGACAGGCAACAGGCCTCTGCACAGCTCCCGCAGCTCGCCTCTGCACAGGGCGGATCATCTGCGTTGTTGCAATCCGCGGCCAACTGCGGCCGATGTCCAGTCAGCGTTGCAAACAGACAACCCCCATCCCTCAGTACCGTTGCGCTAGGCCCATCGCCGCTTTCTGACAGGCAAAGGTGAGAGCCAGCACCCGCCCTCTCACCGGCAAAGGTGAGTGCGGTGTACTCCCCGAGCGACAGCCCCGCCGCCACGTCGACGGCGTCCAGCACTGCGGGGTCCGTGGCGCGCACCTTCTCGACAGCTGCCAGGCTGGCGACGTAGATCGCTGGCTGCAGGGGTGAAGGGTGAGGGTGGGGATGGGCGGTGTCGGGAGTGGTGGGCAGGTATTGGTGGTTGCCGGGGGTCGATAACGTAAGGAATGAGGGCGAGGACGGATCTGGTTGTGGGTGTGCACAGTGCGGCTTTGAAGGCGGATGGATTGCGCCGCTGCGACAAAGGCAAGCTCGAATGGCCTACTGCCCGGCTGTGCCCGCGAGTGCTTGGGGCCCGGCCCCTGCAAGGGATCATGTGACAATGCTGCGCCCGCTTGTGCCCGCCGGCCTGCCGGGGACCCCCGCCCACCTGGCTGACTGCTGTGGTGTCAAGCTTCTCCTTGGGTCCCTCCACACAGACCTGGTGGGAGCGCGCAGGTGCAAGCAGAAGGGTGGCAGGAGCATCGGAGGGAGCATCACAGCGAGCATCAGCGGGAACAAAAGCAGGCAAAGGCACCAAAAGAGCATGTGCGAGCCGCAGAGCCTCTGGGTGTGCACAACTATGTTTGGAGCTCCCGCCGACCGCGGCCGCTGCCGGATCAGCGCGCATTACACATGCACCCGCAGATCGCGAGATCACCTGCAGCAGATCGTAGCCGAGGATGGCTGACGCCTTGTCAAAGAGCTCCTTGGCGGCGGGGCACTCCTCGACCAGGTCCTGCGGGTTTAGACAGAGCAACCCAGCCCGATATGATCATATGTGGCGCTACAGTCTCGCTGGACGTGGCACAGCTGCTGCATTCCCTCAGGGATGCTGGTGCTGACCGCGGTAAAGGTCGACACGAACGGCCCCTGTCCGTGCTGCCGGCACAGCAAGCCGAAGCCGAGCGGGTGGGCCGCCGCCGCGCCGCGCCCGCCGCCGCAAGCTGCTGCTGGCAGCGGCCGCCCTCGCCGCCGCCGAGCCGCCACGCCATCCGCGGCGGCGCAGCGCGTTCCGCTTCCCATGCCTGGTGCCGCTGCCGGCGCCGGCGCCCCTCGCCGCCCGCTCTGGAGCCCCACAGCTTCCTTTGCCATGCCGGCCGGCTGGCCAGCCCTGCGTTGTGCGCAGCTGCATGCCCGCCTCACCATCCCGGCGCTGCAGTCTATCCGACTGTCCCCCAACTGAGTCTGTGCTGGTCCAGCGCTTGGCGCCCCTACTGGTGTCCCTCCCCCCCTCATACCTTGGCCATGCCGACCGACTGCGCGCCCTGGCCAGGGAACAGGAACGCCGTGGTGGGCTTGTAGTCGGCAAACTTGGCGTCGGCCGTGGCCTGCCGGTGATTCAGGGGGGTGAGGGTCCGAGAGTGTGGGTTGCTGTGGGTCGGAGCGTGCATGGTGTGGGTAGGCGGCTGACAACTGGCGAATGCCCAACAAGGGTTGCCGCCCGATGGGCGTGCGGTTGCATGCTGGGCACGCACAGGCTGCGTGCCGGCTGGATGCGTGCGCCTGTGAAGGGGCGGAATCCCAGCGCGGATGGCAGGGCGTTGTCGCGCTGGGGCAGTTTGAGAAGTTCGGCCCAGCAGCGTGAGTCGGTTGCGCTGCTTTGCTCCACGTTTGGTACCACCGCAGCGGCCGCAGCTGTGCAATCGCAGGAATGTTATACATCTTAGGTGTGGCTGTGTGCTGTTGGCTGCAGCCAGAAGCATTGGATTCGATGCGCAGTGTGCTGATCAGCAGCAGCTGACCGTGCCGCACCTGCTCTGCGACCGCAGAAGCACGCACATTGGCCCTCACAGCGCGGGCAGGGCGGTACGTAGACCTCAGGGCGGGCCTGGACAGGGTGTGGACGCGAGAGGCCGGATGATAAGTAACGCCAAGGCGCGTCCCAGATCGACAACCTCTTACCAAGCTATCGGACTCATCCCGTTTCCCAGGCTGAGAAGATTGCTTCATATGGCAATCTATGCTGTCAAACCCCTGTATTGAACGCACTGGGCGGGCCCAGCGCTCCTCCGCTGCATCTGGGCGGACTGCATGTTGACTCGAGTGCTGATTGTTGGATATCAATCGAGTGCTTGGAAAGGTGCGCTTGCAGGGAGGGGACGGGCTCTGTGTGCATTGCCATTGTCGCGCAGCCTGCAGCTGCCGGTCACTGCACGCACTTCATGAGCTGAGATGGGGCTGTGTTGGTCGCTAATCAAGTATGATTGCCAAATTTGTATACTCACACAATTTCAAGCACACCGCCATTGGAGATCAACAGATCTACCACTTCCAGCCAAGGCCCCTCAACTGGCAGCGAGTGGTCAGTTGGGAGTGTCAAGTTTAAATTGATTATAGCGTCTTTCCACAAGGACCAGGCGCAGCGTGCGCAGTAAGCGGCAACGTTTGGAATCAGGCGGCGCGCTCCGCTGCGCTGCTGCAAAATTGCAGCACCAGCAGCACAAGCAGCAGCACCAGCAGCACCAGCAGCACCAGCAGCTCCGCCAGCGACAGCAGCACTAGCAGCGAGCTCGCCACCATGAGCATGCTGCAGCTGCTGTTGCGGCCGGCAAACCGCAGCCTCGTAGACGTGCTGTCGAAGCTGCCAAACTCGGGCATAGGCGCGCGCGTGACGCGGGCCAGATGGCTGCCGCATGGGAACTCCTGGTGAGGCCCCGCCTGGCGACGCTGCCTGTTTGCGCGGCTGCTCTCGCGTCCCTGCATCGCACGCCGCGCGTCTGCCCGTCGCGCCCCCGGCGCCTTGTGCGCGCCCAGCACTTTCACTCTGCAGCTCGGAGCAGCGGCGCCACACGAGCCCGGGCTCGGTGGAAGCCACGCACGCCCCCGCGCGGCGCGGGCGCCGCGCTGCTGGTTGCGATTGGCCTTTGCGCCGATGCAGCCCCCGCGACAGGTCTCCCACGGGCCCGTTAATGCGAACCCACACTCGCGGCCCCCGCCGCCGCCCTCAGGTGGGAAGTGACGGATGTGAAGCTCAAAGGGGAGAACGGCGCGCATGGCAAGGTGTGGGGCGTCCTCTACTGGAACAACCAGCGGGTCGGAGCAGGCCCCACCCGCGTCGCCGGCTCCGCCAAGCGCGTGTGGCGCTGGCTGCCGCCTGAGGAGGAGCTCGCGCGGCTGCAGCCGCTGGCGAAGGAGGCGGCGGCGCTCGAGAGGCGGCAGCGGGAAGCAACGCGGGCGGCGGCAGCAGCGGCAGGAGGCGGCGGCGGAGGGAAGTGACGCAGCGCGCGCCTGGCTGGCAGCTGCCGGTAGTGGAGTTTGGTGAGGTTTAATTTCACAATCATAGAGCTAAGCGTCGGCCTTGTTTGTCTGTGCACACAATGTGTAAGTTATTCAACTCTCTGTTTGGTCCTTAAATTAGGCAAGCCTTGCAACTGTGTCGGGTTGGGTAGCTGAATCCACAGCAGCTGTGCCTGTTTGCCTTGACAGTCACGGCACCTGGTATGACCACCACCCGTCTTGGACCAGCGCAATTTCGACCACTCAGTCTGCAGCTGTCTCTGATGCATTCGAGCTGGCAGGCTCGTGGAGTGCTACCTGTGCGGCGGCAGCAGCAGCAGCAGCAGCAGCGGCGGCGGCGGCGGCGGCGGCGGCGGCGGCGGTGGTGCACCCGGCAGGAGCATTCCTGCTCCCCAAATGGCTCCATCCGTTTCAGCCTCGCGGGCAATCGCAGCAGCTGAGGCACCAGCTCGCAAGCAGCAGCACCCTGCGGGCAACATGCAGTCAGAGGCAATGCGCTTGCAAAGCCTGCAAGCTTGGTGCGACCCCAATAAGCAAGCGCAGCAGGGTCGGTGGCTTGTGGCGGGCGTGCACAACAGCCTGCCGTCCATCAAACGAGGGGCGGTCGCGAGGCAAGGGGGCGTGCGGCGAGCGGCCGTCCGTGCACATGTCTGTTTACGCAATTGTTGTTGCCGCGCCCATCAAGTGCACCCTGGATTACGACAGGTGACGCTGCAGCGCTTGCCGCACGGCATCCAGATCACCTCAAACCTGAACCCGGGCGCGCAGACGCAGCCCCGCATGCCCCAGAGCTTGGGGCTCACTACCACCAGCTGCGGTCAACCCCATTCAGCTGGCTGCTGTTGACCGCCTGCATCTGGCAAGATGGGCGAGGGGGTTGCCACACATCACCCCTGCAGGGGCTGGGCTAGATTCGAATGTCGGGTGCCAGCTCAGCACCAGGCGCCAGCTGCGGTGACGCAAATGCGGCCGGCAGCGCCCACATCAGCACGCCACGGCAACGTTTGCTCGCCTGGCGCCCTGCGCTCGCCATCCGAAGGAGCCCCAGGGTGCACTGCGCCCCGGCTGCTCTTGAGGGACGCCTTCTTCTATCCCTCACGAACCACCTGTGCAGCAGGTCTGCCACCCTCCTACTGCACCTTCCTCGCGCCGCTGCCCCAGCCTCTGAAGCAACCTTCCTGCAACCATCGTCGCGCCCAACACAGCGGCATCGATCGGACACGCCACACCAACCAACACTCGAACAGCAGAGATAATTACAGGGGCGCGCTACTGGGCCCGTCCGCGCCCGCGGCCGCCC